GAAAGTGCATGAAAAAGTACGAAACGAGATACATAAGCAAATATGAAGTACGTGACAACTGCTAACCAGTGTCGAAAACATGTTGAATTTAAAGAATGTCGTTTTGTTTGGATTCATCTTGAAAAAGAACGATTTCCACAATTATAATATTGCTCACAACAAAAGCATTAATCATAGGTCAGATTTCGTAAGATTTATGCCTCTTCATGAGATTAGATATTCTGATATTCTTCTTGAGTTTTTATATTTTAAAATATTATAATTGTACTTTACTAAGAGCAACACAATATTCTTGTAGAATATTAATAGATATAAATTTGTATTTCTCTAAGAAAAGAGCACGGTATTCTTAAAGAATACGAATACGTATTATTTCACGAAATTCATATAAAATATTAAATCAAATATTTTTATATTTCTGAAGAATTATCACATTTCAAAATTGAAATATAAAGGTTGTGCGTTTTCGAGAGCACCAACATGTTCATTGAAAATGAAAAAGTAAGAACATTCATATAGCATGTCAAATTTTTTATTTTTTATTTTTTTAAGATAAAATATTACATAAAAAAGATAGCATACGGATATCATGGGATTTACATGTCCATGAATTTTGACCTAGAACAATGTCATGCACATATATATGTTTACATAATCAAATATCCATGTACTCTACTCTATGCATGTATATATACATATTACATACATCTTCATGCAGAATTCATATAACTTAAAAAAAAAAAAATTAAGTGGGGTCCAAAAGAAATTATTCAATTATATCATTTTTTTTCCTTTCTATAATTTTATTCACAAAAAATGGAAATATAACCTAAAATTATAAAATATATGGTAAACAGTTGGCAACCATCGCACCCAATAAGGTTGATTTATTTATTTTTGAAAAACATAATATACATATTTTATTCTCATCAATAATTGAGACAGTAACATGAGAAAAATAAAAGTAAGAATTACATATATCCTTCTAGTTTACTAAAATATTGTATCAAGTTATGTTTCTTTAGAAGCCTTAATATGTTTTTTAGAAATATAGATATGTAAAAGCTAATCATATTATAATTAGTTTTTTTCTTTTTCATTTTGTTTTATTTAAAGAGAATGATAGATTCATAATTTCATAATTTTTAATTGAGAAAATAGATGAAAATGACATTTTGCACAATAAAATATGGAAATAAAGGTGAAAATGTCAAAAAATGAAAGGTAAGAACGTTTTCCACAATAACAATGACATTATGTTCTAATTACCTGTAATGTTATCTAGAACCATTGGTGATAAAACACCGTTATAGGTGCGCTAATTGATAGACTGAATAAAAAGTAGAATTAAGTTATTCATTAAATTGTACATCTTATTTAATGATGCATTAGTAGCACATAAATTAGTGTTACAAGTGGTGTTAAATAACATTACTTCGGAAGAATTATGCCTCTTTGTACATATCTAAACAGGTTAAAGGAATTCAAAATCATGATCAGTTTTGTAGAATATGCCTCATGTGCGGGAGGTCCATGAGAATGTGCCACCGTAACATGCAAGCACCGACCCAGATGAGGTATCTCGGGAACTTTCCTTGGACCATGGCATGTAACTGTGCCCAACTATGAGTGACCCATTAATGGTACTGTCAATAAAATATTAAATATACTTTGCTTCTTTTGGAGCATTTTTATTAAAATTAATTATAATATTTTTCAGGATCATTCATATTGAAGTGTGTAAATTTATGATTCTTCAAGAATAATTACATAATATTCTTCAAAAATATTGTAAAATATTTATGCTCTTTCGAGATCAATATATATATATATATATATTTGAAGTTCTTCGGGAATAACATAATATTTTTTGAAAGTATGAACACGATATTTTTCAAAATATTATTTTGATATTGAGTCATGCTTCTTCAAGAGCAACGACCTAATATTCTTTTGAAAATGATTTAGATTTATACTTCTTTAAGAATAAGAATAATAATAATAATAATAATAATAATAATAAATTATATTCAAGCAAATATATATCTAGCCATAGATTGTCAAAATATTTTTTATCGCTCTGTTATACAATCCAAATTTAAGAAAATGCAGAAATTTTTTATTTTTTTTTGGAACAAAAAGAGGAGTTTATTTATAAGTTCATTTGGTTAAAATTTCATCTTTCTTTGAATGGAAGAGAAATTACTTTTCTCAACTCAACTTGGTCAGAGATTCATGTGTAGAAAGAGAAAAAAGCTTTCCAAACTCAATTGGCTAGAACTTCGTAATGATAACGTGTTATTAAAAAAAAAAGGCAATAGACTTGTGTATTTAGCTTATTAAGAACCAAAACTCCATATTTATAGGTTATAATTAAGATTATAAGGGTAAAATAATCATTCACAAATAATATTTTATTTACAACACAAGCGTCATTTTTCTCAACTCAACTTGGTCAGAGATTCATGTGTAGAAAGAGAACTCAATTGGCTAGAACTTCGTGTTGATAACGTGTTATTAAAAAAAAGCAAATAGATTTGTGTATTTAGCTTATTAAGAACCAAAACTCCATATTTATAAGGGTAAAATAATCATCACAGATAGTACTTCATATACATCACAAACGTCATTTTTGGACAATAATTCCCTTACTAGTATTTTATAATTCCTTATTTGTTCTTCAGTTATTATTATGTATTTTAATCATAATTACCCAATCTAATGCATCCCCACACCAAAAAAATCAGACTAAATTGATCCGAATGCAGTCTTTTTGAATGAAAAATTATATGTTCTTGGACAAATAATTTAGAAATGAGACATCTTAATTCTAAAGTTGTATTTTTTGACACACAGCTCTCCAACTATTATGTATAGGATCCCCTAGCTGTAGAATCACACACAATCATGTTGTTGCATATTCACTTCAAAAAACCTCTAGCATTTATTTTGAGTTTGATTTTCATAAAAAAAATAGTTAAAAACGCTGGTTGGTTCATTGTTCTATGTAATTTGGA